AAAAATAAGGGAATGTTTAAGGAGATTAGTCCCTTCTCAATATTTAAAAAACTTTTGATCAATTACAGATAAAATTGTATTTTATAATTTTTTTAGGAGGTTCTTATATCAAAATTTTAACTAATGTTATGTTAATGTACTTAATATTTAACTCCCAAGATAAATGGAACTTATTGAAAAGTATTAAATGTTTTGAAATTCAACTATAGTATAATATGATAAATATGCAGTAATACAATTAAAGTAGTTAGTGGGATACGTTAGTACTTATAGAAACTTAGTAGTTAATGGTTTAGAGTATTTAAAAAAAGGGAAAAGTCCTAAACTGGAAACCCCAGCTAGTATAGAAATTATATTATGAGACCCCAAACATTAAAGTATAAAAAATAAAATAAGATTCACAAAAATATGCAGAGTACACAATAAACAATTGTAGGCAATGACGTATTTAGGGTGGACAGATAGGGCCTCAGGCAGTAAATTTTTAGGGCACTAAATTTTAGAAAGAATTTATGTATAATATGGTTTCTAGGTCATTTGGGTGATAAAAATAAGTAATGACACTCAGATAATAATAAATTATCATATTTTTTTTTTACAAACACAGCTATTGCTAAAGAAATTTAGGTTGGAAGAGGGCATTTTTTCTTACCTGGGGCGTAAAATTCCCAAATATGTCTCTGATTGGTGGTATATATAATTCAGAAATTATTTTTATTTTTTAACAAAAAAAAGACTCAATACTATATTTGAAGTTAAAGATGATGTCTAATTGTTCAATACCTAACTTAATGGGTGTTTTTTAACTTTTTAATTAGGTACTCAAAGTCAGCTATATGAAATGTAACCATAAATTAGAGTCAGATGCATTGGTAACCAAAACTGTAAAATTTAACCACCTACGGTGGTTAACTGAGATTTAAATTTCTGGGATATATAATAATATACTACCCAACATATTGCACATTTTCATGGTTCATATACTTATTTAAATCTTGAAGCTTACATTTTTATTGCATATAAACGTTAGATCTGTTGAGTATTTTTGATTTTTTTCACAAACAGTATTTCCTTCCAAAGCCAAAACAAGTTGATTTTTAGTATTTAATTTCACTTCTGAAAAGAAAATTTCACGCATAATACATAAATATACACTGATATTCAGAATTTGGTTATATTATATTCTATATTTCTTGTAAATAAGTATTTCAAAAACACGAAAATCTGGAAATTATAAAAATTCATAAAATAATATATTTAAATAAGTATGTAAGGTTTATGTTTCGTTTCTACAAGAGACGACAAATAGGTGAAATTTTATGTGAAACCAGTTTCCGACCAATCAATGTTGTTAATTTGTTTAAAAACAAATAATCGTTATTTTCATAGTATTTTTTTTTATAAATGTCAATAAAAAATATTAAAGTTACTTTTTCAATCATTTTTAGGGGACCAGCTAAGCCCCTTGTGTCCCAACACCCTTCCATAAATTATTTCCTCCTTCAAAAACTGAACATTTATTTAAATAGGTACCTACCTTTAATTTTGGATCCAATATCTACTTCAGTAGAATAATTTTGGTATTTAACTAAGCATATTTTTGACTTGATTCCATCGCAAGTCGATTTATGTTCATCACTTTTACATAACTTTATGTTTAAGTAGATATCATCAGATTTGTTGAAATTCACTGCTTGAAGTCCTTCAAAACTTAAAAATAATAAATAATTTATTTAAATTAATAATCAAATATTTAGATATCATTGAATGAAATCCATAATCATAACATATTAAAAATGAATACATGGTAATATTCTCTTAAGAGGGCGCAACACCGGTATTTGTTGTCTCAGTTTTACAAACGMGTAACATAGCAAATTCACGCTCAACAGTTCGTGTTTAACTCCGTAAACTTAAAACTTAGAGTGAATAAAATTAACATAAAACTTGATAGTAAGAACATTATCTGTGTTCTGTTGGAAGTACTTTTACGATAATTCAGTTTTTAAGTGAATAAGTGAGTTATGCGCATATAATAAATTGTAAAATAAAAATGATACCCGTTTGTAAGACTGAAACAACAAATTGAGCCGTTTTAACTGTTAACACTCTTTATCCTGAAAATATAAATAATTTTTTTAGAAATCCAATTGAAGTCTTTCCAAAACAACATAGAAATATATGTAAATATCCTCAGACCAAAAAAAAAAAAACATTGTGGATAAAAAAAACACAATAATATATAGGTATTTACAAGATTTTAATGTCAGTCCATGTATGCTTTAAAAACAAATAGGAACATTTAATTTACAAAAAAATTTACGGATGGAGGTTTATAAAAAGAATTACAAAAATGTGTTGCTTGGCCATCTGAAATATTTATTAGCATCGGTCCATTATATACTGTTGAAATACCCAAGGCTCAAATGATTGAATTAATGTAAAGAAAGTTAAACGAAGTTTAAAAACTTATATGATATTTTTATTATTTTTAACATAATGTTATTAGCTAATATGTAATATTGTGACATTGAGTATTATTGCATTACTGTTTTATTATTATTAGAAAATTGACCAATTCATTTTAGATTCTGAGTGGAGCGAGTAATGTATATTGATTTTACTATRATGTGTGTATGTGTGTGTTTTTTTTTTTGTGTCTGTCATCACGTTTTGAGGCAGTAAAAATGCTTCGATTTTCGATTTCAGTACCTTGTTAAATCAGAAAGTGAATCTAGTTGGTACTTTTTTGGGGGGGATCAAAAGTAAAAATCGGGAAGTCGTGGATGTCGCTATGCTGTGCAGTATGAGTTACAAGTGGGTTACTGTAATGGATAAAATTAAATTTGAATCCAATGATATTATATCATTATTCATTGTATACGAAAAACGATTCTGAGCGAAGACGGTTTATTTGTCTATAGAATATATTATAGATAATTAAAAATTTTCAAATCTTAGATTTTCAAAAAAAAAATTATGAATTTCTAGCTTAAAATAATTTGTGAATTTTCGTGATTTTTACGTATGTTTTCAAAATTCGAACTTTGAATGCTTGTAAAAAAAATTTGTGACTATATATTTCTTTTAATTTTTAACTGCTATTGTAAAAACATGTTAGGAGCATTGTATTAAATTTTCAAATTTTAGATTTAAAAAGAAATACTTTTATGAATTTCTATCTAAGATAATTTAAACATTGCTGCAATTTTTACGTATTTAGTCAAAATTTGAACTTTAAATGCTTTTGAAATTTAAATTTATACAACATTGGATTTTCACTAGATTTCTCATTTAGCAATTTTCTTAAGTTACAGTAACTCTAAAACAAATTACCGCAGATACTTGAAATTTTCACTGAATGTTTATACCTATAAACCTTTATTTTCTATATTTGATAAAATTTCCAAAATATTTTGATTAGTTTTGAGCTGTTAACTGCCTTATTAATTTTTAAACTTTGCGCTTAAAAAAGTACAAAAATGCTTTAAAAATATGCATTTTATTTTTTTAAACATAAAATGTTCATCACCCATCAACATTTGGTTATTTTCCTCAAAAGTATTTTTTTTAAACCATCATATTTCGATAACAGTCGTTTCTATTTTCTATTTGTATAATATTCTATTTTAGATAAAGCTAGCTGTAGTTATAATTTATAAATATTACAGGCACGGATTGGGCCGGCGAGACGCGRGGAGTTTTCCCGGTGGGCCGGGCTACTGGGTCGTACTTTGTTTTTTTTTAGAATAACAGATTTTAATAATAATAATTATAAATTTAAACCATGTGTAGCATGGACTTCTAGTAATTTAGGATTGGCGTACAGATATCTTTTAACACTGCCATCAACTCAGGTACATATTATATATTTTATAAATTATTTGAATACACTATGAATATTGATTCATATACCATTAGCGTTTTGCGTAGGTAGCATGTGAGTGAACATTTTAGACATTAAAATAAAATGTATTAAAAGCAGGCTATTGGGATCCAAAATAGGCGTTAATGTTAATGTCCGTCGAAAAAAAAGTACTTTATAATATAGACACAGATAACATAATCAATAAAGTAGCTACAAAAAAATGTATAAATTTATAGCTATAGTACCTGTGAAACATTAACTAAAGAATTAATGTATTAATTGATTATAAATATATTTGTGTAACTAAATTTGAGTCTATTTTTGTTCATAAAGGGCCAGCTTAGGTACAGGTTTCCCGGGCTGAATTTTTATCCCAATCGACCCAACCGTTCCTGTAAATATATATGTTATTTATATATATATATTATATTAATCAATAGGGGAAAAACATTGTTTTTAATATCAAATGGAAATTTGTAAAATTCGATACAAGAATATCTACTACATTCTCTCCTATGAATGAATTCAATTTTTATTTACGAATTTTCATACTGAATCATCATAAATTATAAAATATGTTTTTTTTTTTAATCATTAGATTAATTAAATTAATAATAAATTAATAATTAATTAAATTAAATAACTTATTGTTAAGTGAGCTAAATTCATTCCAAGACATATAATAATAATAAGGAAAACATGCAATTAATGCAATAATATTCGAGCCCTAATAATATGGTAAAAATTATAATACACGTTAATAAAATTAATAATTAAAATTGAATACATTGATTAGTGACCAACTTTAGAAAAATTTCATACGGAGGTAAATTTTTTTATGTAATAATTTTTATTTATTTGAATGATAGAACATACGTATATTTACATTTTATATTCCAGAATTATAAAAAAGGAATTTTTTTTTAAATGTTGATAAAAAATATAAAAACTTATTTTTAACGAGTATTAAATTATTTATTGTTTAAGTAGGTATTTAAATATGAGTAAGAAGTTCAAAAAATATATTTATATATAAATTCTGGTTCGGTACCTTTTATGCTTGTAAATATAATTTAAGATTTATATTAATAASTACGTTAAATTGTTCATGATGAATACTTCAAAATTATTACTACCCGTGAAAAATATTTTGGCAAGAAAAAAATTTAAATTCTCTACAAAACTATATTCAATATTATCTTTTTAAGGATAAAAAGTGTAAACTAGGTACTAAAAAAATCAACTTGTACATTATGTTAATGGTTATTATGTTTACCAACTTACCGTGTTAAATCAAATTGAAGATCTGTTCCCATGTGTTTCAGATTGAAAATACAATCTTCACAATGTATGACTGAGGCATACGCCACAGTTATTAGACACAAGTTATACAACACCATACTATAGAAAACAAATAAAAACACCAATATTGTGATTAATAATGATATTATATTGCCCAATATTGGTCATATATAATAATTAAAAATATATTATTATTTCAATGTACAAGTTGAAAATGTTCGAATTTATCAGAATTTCCTTTCCTACAGCTGCTGATATCTGAACAGTCTTTATTACTTAAGAGGACGCCAGCGGACATTTTTTTTCTGTCTTACAAAACGAATATAGGTACAACCACAGATATATAAAACAACTAGATAGCCGACTTTCACCGTGCTATACAAACCGGTGAAACTGGCCGCCATATGTTAACAGGGCAATGTTTACGTTTGAAATGTAATGATAATAATGATAACAAAATATGAAATATTCCCTCCATACTAGGAAACCGATGTCCTATTCCGTAAAACATTTTTCTAATTTCAATGGTAAAGCGAATTTCAATTGATATTTTTGAGTTTTTGATTTGTTGCTTGTTTCATTTGTTTGGTTTATATTTTATAATATATTAATATAGTAAAAAAGTCATGGTGGTGTCATGCTCTGCGCATGGATGTGTGAACAGAAGACAAAAAAATGGTAAAATTCATTTTTTTAGGTAAATATGTTTGCTGTGTAAAAAAAACATAACCCATGACAGTTGTATATTATAAAAATGGTTTTTATTTTTAGTTTTCCTTTGAAGGATAATATCAGAAGTTTTGAATGGACCAGAGTCTGCCAAAAAGGATTCATTCCTACAAAATTTAGTGTTCTCTG